CCTTTTGCCTGTTACAAACCACAGTGTGGTGAAGGGTATAAAAAATTCAAAAAAGATATCTTGAAAAAATCTTATTTAAATATTACGTGCTTCTAGCTCTGGAATCCTTCAAAAATATTATTTAAAAAATCCGCGTTTCTTGCTCACAAGTTTATTCAAAAAATTTATGTAAAGAATCCGCATGTCCTTCAATAATACACTTTAAAAAATCTGTTCTACTTTTCCCGGGGTCCATCAAAAATATTCTTTAAAAATCTGTACTTCTTGCTCCGGGAGTCAAACATATTCTTTAAAAAAATCCGGAGGTCCTTTAATATACTTTAAAAAAATCTGATCTTATCCCGTGGGTCAAAAATATTCTTTACAAATCCAAGCCTCTAGGTCAGCCGGCCATTAGAAAAATTTTTATTTAAAAAATTCGCGCTTCTTGCTTAGAGATTCCTTCAAATATATTCGTTAAAAACATCGGTGATACTTGAAAAATTTTCTTTAAAAATCCACGATTCTTGCTGAAAAGTTCCTTCAAAAATATCCATTCTTGCTTAGAGATTTCTTCAAATATATTCTTTAAAAATATCGAGGATACTTTTTTAAAAATCCACGATTCTTGCTCAAAAGTTCCTTCAAAAATATTCATTCTTTAAAATCCGCGTTTCTTGGTCAAAAACTCTCTTGAAAAATATTATTTTCAAATCCGCGCTTCTTGCTCCGAGCAGGGATGGTCCGTGTGACGAATTTTTAGGTTTTCGACTGTCAAAAAGGTGTAAACGTCGAAAACGTCATATACCTGTATAAAATGTAATAAACGTAGTAAACGTCATTTATATATTATCAACATATACAGTTATTTTCAAGAATATATATTATGTTTACATATATCTGACTATTCCTTACTAGAACTGATAAAAATTTCTAAATTTTTTTGAGAAGAAAATTTTGAAATTTTATATCGATTTGAGTAAAGCATGCGTAATCCCCAAATTGATTAATGGAAATAGCTATTTTGTCAAAAACCTAATGGATTTAGGTAGGTTTCCGACGATTCTGATGTATGTATTATACGTCGGAAATGTATGTCATTTACGTCACTGTTTTTGACAGGCCATCTCTGGCTCCGAGGGTCCTTCAAAAATATTCTTTAAAAATATATGCTTCTAGGTTAAATGGCCGTTGGAAAAATTATTTAAAAAAAAAATCCGCACCTCCAGGACAGAAGGATCTACACAGTTGAGGCCAAATTCGCCTCAAAAAGTATATTTTTAAAGCCTCAAGTTGCTATGACCTATTTCCCTTTTTGTTCCCCACACGTGCGTATTGTGTGTAAAAATTCAACACAATACCAAAGAATTACAACATATTGCAGAATTTGTTATTTGTTCTTCATTGTTGTTATTGTTAATTCAGCTGCTTAAACGCATAACAAGTTAACAAAAATTTTTTTCAATGGTCAAGGACGACGCTACCGCAAAATGCCTTTGATTTTGGCCACAATGGCAAACACTTGGCTTTGTAATTTTGTTTTGGCATTGTTCGCGAGTGTGTGTGTGTGTGTACATTTCAGTTTTAGTGGCTTGTTCACGCTTTGTTTAAAAACAAAATAAAATGTTGTAATCTGAAAAAAAACACACACACACACAAGAGGTTAGTTTAGCTAACATAATAAGGCTACTAGTGATTATTATGATGTTATATTACAAATAATATATTCTCGAATATATATTTGGCATTCTATTTTTTGCTGCGTCCATTGTAGATTTAAAGGCGTCACCATGGCGGCTAACAAATTGTTTTTGACAAATAAATATTATCAAACATTATAGTTGAATAATATATTGGCAGGAAATTAAGGATTTTTTTTTTCTTGAAAAAAATAAACTTCTTAAGCTGAGGTCCTTGAAAAAATTATTCTTCAAAAAATGTGCATACTAGTGCCGTTCGTAAACTTCTTAGCCTATCAATGAAAGCGAATAGTTAGTTTTTCAAAAATATTTTTATTTTTCAATATAATCTCCAAAGATTTTTAACCATTCCATCCCTTGATTTAGCTCCCAGTGACTCGTTATGGATTTCTTGTCCCGATAAACCTTTTTATGTAAATATTCAATAACTGCAAGCATTTCCAATTTTTCCATTGTAAAATAATTGCGGAGCGTCTTTTTTGAACACATGTTTCTATATGAAGGAGTTGACAGATCGAAACAAAATTTAAAATGTGTTCATAACAGAGATGGTAGTTTTCAAAACACTTCACTTTTTTTCTGTTTATACGGCGCTTTTTGTGCTAGGCTAAGAAGTTTCCGAACTACCCTCGTATTGTTCAAAGGCTAACTGAAATTATTATTTAAAAAAAATGGACCCTTGTCGGAAAGGCACCAGAAGGACTAGACCAATAATTCATTCCTTCGAACACTATATAGTGTTAGTAATAATATTAGGTTATACAAAGTTTTGATCAAAAGAGAAATCCTTTCGCAGGAGCAAAATTTTGACCATTTCTAGTGGAGGTACCAAAAGGAGGAGACTGGAAGAAATATACATAGCAATCGGTAAATCCAAGCTTTGTTGTTATCGTGGGTCTGGCAGGCATTTGGAGCCAGACAGACATTGCTGTCTTTAGGCTCTATGTAGATTCCAAAACATTTTCTATATTTTCTGATAATGAATCTCTTTTATATTCTTCACCACACTGTGGTACAGGCAAAAGGAATCGTGATAGGCTTATGGATCCTATTGAGAGAATGCATTGACTTTCTCACTCACTCTCCGAGTTGATTTATGCATGTCCGCATTTATGTTCCGATTTGGATGAAATTTGGCAAAGTCACTTATTTGGTCAAGGACGATCCCTAATTTGCACGAAATTTGGCATAGAGTACTGAATTGAGTCTAGAATGATGAGTGGTGAGTTTCGTGAAAATCGGATAAGATTTCGATATAGCTCCCATATACAGTTTCATCCGATTTTATGTAAATGGTGCACCAAATTCCCTATATTTGTCTGATTAAGACAACATTTTGAATAGAGTAATGCATTAGGTCCAGATTGATGCATGCGAAGTCTTGTTGGAATCGGCTTAGATTTAGATATAGCTCCCATATATAGTTTCGTCCGATTTTATGTAAATGGAGCACCATACTGCCAATGTTTCCGTCCGATTGAGACAAAATGTTGCACAGCGTACTAATTTAGGTCCAAATTAATGTATGCGAAGTTTTGTTGAAATCGGTTCAAATTTAGATATATATGGAACACCATACTGCCAATGTTTGTCCGATTCAGACAAAATTTTGCATAGAGTATTGAAGTTACTACAAGTTGGTATCTGTGCAATTTTGTTGAAATAGGCTCAAAATTTAATTACCTCACATATATACTTTAGTACAATTTTATGTAAATGGTGTACCATAGATCCTGCACGATATTTTGTTCTTATATACAGTACCATAAATATTCGATTTCATACAAGTTATTGATATTAAATTTTTCATAAATTTCTGAATAATATAGGTTTTTTATTTAGTAGAACTAAACTAAATATCTACGTACTCCATACCGTTAATTTCATCCGATTCCATTTCAATGGTCCCCCTAAGATGCTATCTTGGGTACATAAAAGTGGTGAAGGGTATCATATATTCGGCCACGTCTGACTTTTGAATTTTCCTTACTGCTTTTAATTCGATTTAGAATAGTTTACTTCACAAAAAACTTAAATTTTCTGCTACGAGTCAAATTGGCTCAAGTAGGTATACACTCAACATCTGTAAATCCAGTGTTAAAAAACTACACTTCAAATATATTTAAAAAAAATTATAGCGCTTGTAGACCAACTGGTCTTTGGAAAAGGTGTGTTTTGAGTATTCTAAAAATAGAGCACCATAGGCCTATCGGGACGGAAAAATACCACACAAACTTTGATACCAATTCAATTTTTTTGAGATAAGAGATCACAAAATGTTGATAAAAACAAAAATTACCAATAAAAAAACTATCGATAAATACCATTTATATATTTATTAATATTTACTGTCATAATATAAATATAATAATAAAACATACATATAACAGATAATGACAAATTTGCATTTACATCAGCAATAATAACCAAAATAAAACACAATAAACGATATTTACCCACCAGCCATTACCCATTATCACGCTCACGACACCAAATATATACCACCCATAGAACGAACTTATCTCTCGCCCTGCTGCTGCAGCAGCAGCAACAGCACCAGGTTTTGTTGCCACTCTCATGTCAGACGAAATTAATTGACCCAAGCAAATAGGCAAACAAACTCAACGCAAATATGTAAACACATTTAGACATACAAACAATCTGACACACACACAATTGTATATTTTTAGCTGATAATAAACTAATTTTTGCTGATCCGTAGCGAAAATATTTATTGTGATCATGATTTGTGAATGTGGTTCACATCGCCAAGCTTTGGTTAGTTGTGGGCCAGAGCGATTAATTTTATTTTATTTTGATTGCTATAAAGACCATAATTTGATTACAAACATACATGTGTACGTCGCTACAAATCAAACTGCACTATGTATGTAGATAGATATGTTTCATCAGCCGGCAAAATAAAAAGAAAGAAAAAAACGGCTATCAGCAAACACAAATCAACAATAATTTACAACAATCATAATGACAACAACAACAGCAACATAGACCTCTTCATAGAGCAACATCAGCAGCAAGAGCAGCAGTGCAAAATCTGCGGTAGTCATCTTGAGAAGCTGTCCGAGGAAACATTTACAAATTCATTGAAAAGAAAATTTCTGAAGAAAATCGGTAGTTTTGATTCAAAAAACATGAATTTCAATAGCTCTGATTTATTCCAAAATAATACACCAACTTTTGATAGGCTCTATCAGAGTTTTCATTCATATGAAGAAGAGGCGAAAAGTATACATTCAATAAATTATATACGAAATCTATCACATCAGTATTGTTAATTTTGTCTACTTTTATTTTTTGCAGGAAGCGATTCTCCTTTGGCTGGCGCCGCTGTTGCTGCTGGTCAGCTACAACAACCCAAAACACCCGGCGCCCTTGATGAGGCCACTGTCGACGATGTCTTGCCAAATGAAATTTCCGCACCCTATGAAGTTCCACAATTTCCCATTGAGCAGATCGAAAAGAAATTACAAATACAAAGGCAGCTAAATGTGCGGTAAGTAGAAAATATTCTAAAATGGACCAATAATTTGGTAGGATATCGAAAAACAAGAAAAATGTCGTTAAGTTAGGTCGAAAGGAAATTTGTATACACACATCGTTCTAGATCTAATTCAGTAGCTGCACCATTTACCGAAAATCGGACGAAAATATATATGGGAGCTATATCTACATCTGAACCGATTTTCACGAAAATTAACCCTGGGCCAAATAAAAGAGCTGTGCTACATTTCATCCAATTCGAATCAAAAATTCGACATGTACTTTGTTTACAATTTAACATAGACAGACGGACGGGCTGGTATGTACAAATCGACTTAAAAAGCGATTCTTTGCATATTCTCAAAAGGAACCATGTGCCTATCTCATTTCCTTTGGCCTGTTACAAACATATGCACAAAGACATAATACACTGTACCATAATGTGGTGAAGGATATAAACACTCAGGTTGTAGAATTAGGCTCGGACCATGAACATTCCGAAAATGACGGGTGACTTATTTTAGGAGTTATGTATAAACATGGACTTTCATAGACATTTTTCTGTAAACAAGTCGGAACCCCAAGTTGTAGTCACTTCGTAATGCTAATATAGAATCACTTTGTTTGGAAACAGCCTTACTTAGAAAGGGATAAACATTTACCACACACCTGACATCTACACAATTAGAAAATCCGTCGGTGCTGCCGATAGATATATTACCTCGTCGTATTATTCGCTTTATATATGGTATGTGTTATTTAGTTGCAGTTTTTCATCTCACCCTGTATACCCCATCTTCGGATTTTATGTGGGTTTGTTAAAATAGCACGATGTGCAATCAATGTAAAATCGGGTTTTTAATTCGCTTCAAACTAAAAATTTATACATTTTTGAGCCTCTTTGGAGGAGGTACAAAAAGGATTGGATCGATGGTTTCCATCTTCGCACTTAATCTATGGTTTGTAAAAATATAAAGATTTGCAAAGTTTGGACTAAAAATTTTTCAAAAATTTGACACTTTATGGGGGAGGTACCATGGTCTCACCTTAGGACATTCTATTCACTTGATATTTAATTGAGAAATTTTCAAAATGTTGACCCCTTGTGGAGGATGTACTACATGGAGTGGGCCGATAAGTCCCATTTTGCAACAATATACAGTCATGGTTATAATATTAGGTTGTGCAAATTGGATAGTCCGTTCAAAGTTTGGATGAAATCGGGTACTCCCTTTGAGAGCTATCGTGAGCACCAACCGGCCAGACAGACAGATGGACATTTGTTCGTATCCAAATTGTGTGAAAAGGATTTGGTCCAAAGAAACATGGGGATGACCCCAAATACCCAATTAAGGGAACCCCACCCATTCTCGATTTTAATTTTTCAAAATTTTCAATGGGCTGGTAAATCAATACCAATGCTTGTTAAGGTTTGTAACTTTGCACATATATATTTGAAGATTTAAAAGAGAAGAAAAATAATTTACAAAAAATTTTTGTTATTGCTTTGTTGTTGTTTTTTTAATTAAAGAAAAGTCCTTATTTTTAATGGCGGGCATGATAACTCCTTACTGGAACATCGGAATCCGATTCCAATTCCAACGGTGTTAGAAAAAGTACATGTCTGGCTCTCGTATGAACTAGGATTATTGACTTCGCTCTAAAATTAACAAAATAGCGGACATTTGAAAAAATATTTTTGGAAAATCGCCGATTTTTGACCAAAGAGAAAGTTAAAAAATAAGGAAGATCTTCACCGATTGGCTTTATCCTAGTTCATACGAGAGCTATACACTCACAGAGAAACGTGTAAAAATTTGGAATCGATTAGGTTATTAGTTTTTGAGTTATCGTGCCCGCCATTCGCAAAAGAGAAAAACGCGTTTAAAGTTTGAGAAGCCCTTTAGCCGACACTTGATGCTTGAGACATTCTTGAATTAGCGTAGAATCGAATTAAATCAAAAAAATTTTGACCCCGAGAATGGGGGAGTCCCCTTAAAGCCACTTCGGTTAAAAACATAGTATTGTAACGTCGTATTTTCTTCGGATGATGTTAGCCCAGTCGTGCCAGTGTGTCCATAGGGATCCACAAAACCTTATAGATTAAAGAGACCAGTGTCTCCCATGTTTGGGGCTAAATCTGGAACAAATTTCCTTTAAGGCCACCTCTCAGAAACATTTGAAATTTTTACCATTGGTAGCCTTTTGTTTGCTCCCATACATCCCAGAGATATGAGGTTCCAAAGTTCCAAAAAATGACCCAATGTTGACTACCTTTCCATTCAAAAATTACCCTTTTTGGTTACCTTTTAAAATTTTTTCCTGATTACAAGGACACTTTTTGGGAGAAATGTACACCAGATATGGGGTTCCAATGTTTCAAAAATTCAAAAAAATTCCTTTTTTATTGCCACCTCTCAGAATAAGCTGCATTTTTACCATTTTCCCTGATTACAGCAACATAACATTTTTCCGGGGGAAGTGTATACTTCCCGAGATATGAGATTCCAAAATGCAACAATTTCGCCTTTTTTGGCCGGGATTTAAGACTTTCTCTTTTGGACGGGTAACAATTTTGGCTATGCACTTTTACGTGTCAAGTACCCTTTTATCTCACATTTTTAACGGGTAGCCGACGTTCAGCAAGGATTTAAGACTTTCTCCTATGGACAGATTCCAATACCGGCTACGCCAAAATATTTCCTTGTTTTTGTAGGGCTCTAAGGACCATATCTTTTGATTCAAAACAGATAAAGACACTTATCGCACCATTTTATAAAGGGTAAATTGTAGTCTATTATGTGAGTCAGGATAGGTCTAAGACTATAATGGACTTTGAATTTTAGAGAGTTTTCAAAAAAAAAAAAAAAAAAAAAATAGGTGTCCAAAATCCGGCATTGGACTTATCTACCAAATGGTTTGATATAACCCCATATCACCACTCAATGGAACGGTATTTTTATAAGCTTTAAAATCATATCCATTAATCGGATCCGTAGAACCGGGTGCCCGTACCCTATCTTCCGCGTTAAATAATTGGGTAACCGGATACACCCTCCAAGAAAAAATATATTCCCATAACTTGGGTAAAAATACCAATCTCTGTAAACAAATTAAAAAACCTGATCGTTTTTACAAAACTAGAGTTAAGCAAAATGGTGTGATTTTCGTAAATTTGGATTTTCGTAAAAAGTAAGGTCCATTAACCCCGTCTCTCAACAATAATTGTTGGGTCTTTCAAGTCCCAGATACGCATAGGCCTACAAAAATAGAGTCACACACAAATTTTCGATAGTTGGAATCAGTTTTATTCCAACTAAGTAGATGATGGGGCTGTCCTGAGGGGCTGCCATCCATCGTTGCCAAACAAAAGAAAGGGACTTTGGTTGCATTTCATCTGAAGTGGGATGTTAATCTCTTTTTACAAACATTTAAAAGCCACTTAGAAATAATTTTCCGGCATCTGCTGGTTTTCGAATCCGGGACGCATCGGTTTGTAGTATGGCACACTATCCACTGCCCTATGCCACCCTCGTAGGAAATGAAAATGGATTAGTCACGCCTAGAGATGGGTAGTGGGTAAATACCCGGTAATTGGATAAAATGGGCAAATACCCATTTGCGGGTATTTATTTGGGTATTTATTATATTGAATCGCCAATACAACATCTTACACCCTATTTCCGCCATTCTTTTATCAAAACTATTCAAAACGGATAGTTTTGTAATACTTAAAATACGTGGGTATATACTCGGGTATTTAAATAAATATTGGATCAGAACCGTTGTATGGATCAGAACCATAAGTTCTTGCGCAAGCAGGTGAGGCAGCCCATGGAGTGTTTGAGAGAAAATTTCTCCGAGAGATCTATGGGCCGATCTGCGTCGAATGAACCGGAAATTGTAACATCAATTTCGGACATCGCCATTGTAAGATGTATCGAGCTGCAGCGACTACGTTGCCTAGGTCAAGTTATGAGAATGGGTGTGGACGCCCCAGCTCAAAAGGCATATAAAAACGAACCAACTGATGGTTCACGTAGAAGGGGAAGAGAACGAATTTGATGAAAAGATCAAATGGAACCCAACATCATCAAGCATGGTCTTCTAAATTGAAAGAGCTGCGCACAAGCTCGGCTTATGGAACAAATGTTCTGTCACAAGCTAGTTTGTAAGTATTTTATCTATCAGAAAAACTATTGAAATTAAAAATGGGGTATTTGGGCCAATGCGTTGATATAGCCCTATATAAATGTTACTGACCTCCTCCTTGTAGGTAAGGGATACCATGGACATCTCTTTTTATTCAAACATTTCGATTTATATATTTATTTGTCCACTTTTGTACAAGGCACCTAAGAAATATTTTACCATACCTTCGACATTTCTTTAACCTTTCAATAATTTGTAGTTTCCTGTAGTTTATTTTATTTGTTGTTGTTCTTCTTCAAGATTAACAAAATGTATTGCCATAAAAAATAAATATCATCGTTGTCATTTTGTGACAGCAATATTTTTTATGAATGGTGGTGGTGGTGTTGTTTGGTAAAACCTCTCTTTTGGTGGGGTGGCGGTTCTCTTGAATGAAATATTACGTGTTTTTCGTTAGTTTTTTTTTGGTATTATCCTCATTCAAGCATTTTAGCGATTGCACATGATGTTGTTATTTGACCATTACCCCCATGCATCGCATGGGCAATAGGCAGGCAACTTATGTGCGTTTGTTATGGGGGTGGGGAATGGGCAAAAGAAATCGCTTAGGCTCACACCGCCTTCCATTTCAAGCAAAATGTTGTAAAGTGTCATTTCATTTTTGTTTCTTCTTCAGTTTTTGTTGTTGTTTTTGTGTGCCAAACACCTTTATTCTAATACAATTAGTTATTCTGCCATCAGTACCCATATTTGTTGACCAGGCCAGGCGGGTTTGTCAATACAATTTCATTTTTGCCAGTTTTAGTTACAATTGTTCTTTCTCTTCGCAATTAACGCAGTCAATTTGTTGTTTGTGTTGTG